AGGGGACATTTCAATTTCCAGGAGAATTGCGGGAGCACAACTGATTGAGCACAACAAGGAATTTCTGCTAGACTGAGCAAGTGGTGATGGAACCAAAAATGAGGGAAATTCACACTTGATTTCATGATCACGAAACTGTCTGTCACAGATGCATCTGTGAAAAACATCATTGCTGCATCAGAATTCACACAACACCAGGGTTACAATCCAACAAGTTTACATGAAATCACACAAGCTTTGACAGGTGCAGTGAGGGAACAGGGCACACAGACACAGACATTTTCGACAGAGAGATCAAGGGCAGAGAGATCAAGGGCAGAAAGATCAAAAGTGTATCCAGCTGGTGTCAGTGAAATGTCTTGAGATCATGGTTGGCATTGTATTGTGCTTGGGAGTTGGTCTGTGCTACCGTGTGAGCATGGCTGATGAATCTGGCTTTAACGCATCACTTGACAGCTCGAGCATACATGTTGAGCCTAGGGGTACGGCCTTCTGGGGGGGTCCAATCGGATTCCTTCTTCTTTGGTCGCTGCATCGTAGATCTCTCCATCGTCTGTTCCGGTTCATGGGTTGTCTCATTGGGCTCGCTGCTGATATCTTGGGGCTTGTGGAAGAATTTCCGGACCCTCATTTGGCTGATGAATTCCTCTATGTCTGCCTCGTGACCATTTTGCTCGTGGGCAGAAATTGAGCCCTCCGCTGAGAACTCCGATTTCGTCCGGTTCAAGGGCTTGGTCAGACAAGTTGACGATGGGTTTCTCTGTGGTGCTATCGGTTTCAACTGTGGGACCAGGGAAGAATCAGTTACTGCTGACAATCCTTGTGGAGAAGAAATTCTACCATCACGTTGAAAATATCTTACATTAATTTGTGTGAAGCTATCACCGTGCAAAATGGAGCAGATTCTCAACAAATCCAGCCACTCAAGACTGGGCGTTCATGAGGTGTTGTGGGCAATCAACAGCAGCAGAATCCTGTCCCAAACACAATTTGCTAATTCATGGCCTGGCATATACCACCACGCAGCTATGACCAGGAAGGAAGAGGATCCATCTTGCTTTAATGAAGAGTGCAGGAGATTATGCCAAGAGGAGCACCAGGTTTACCTCAGAATGAGATGTCACTCTGGTGAAGCCACAAAACAAGATCACTTGTATGCCGAAAAGCAGATTTAGCAAATGATAGACAGAGCTCAGCATCCCCACAACCAAGAGATCAAATTTAAGCCACAAATGTGCTGCCACATGCAGTTATGAATTGTGGTGAAAATTTAATAAATTAAGTCGATGAGGATGTTCCACAGATATGCTCATCGCCAGTGATGTGAGACAAGCACATAAGCATTGGCATCAATCTTCGGCCAAATGTATCGAGTGGATTACTCATCACAGCCTCTTCCAGATATCTGCAGCATCACAATTGCCAGCCTTCAGCGATTCAATTCGCTCCATGTGATACCAAGAAAGGGCTGGAGGGACTGGCCACTGCAAAGTGTATAGGCTCTGATAATATTGTGGAAATAGTACTGAAGATTTATGCTGCAGAAACTGTTCCACAACATGAGCATCTACCCAACAACGTTGAAAAATGACGAAACGTCAACTATCCTGCTCCTCTGATGCTGCCTGGCCTGCTACGTTCCTCGACCTCCACACTGTGTTAGCTCTGACTCCAGCATCTCCAGTTCTTACTCTCTCTGAATGTTAAAAATTGCCCAGGATAGGACTGTACACAGAAACCATAAAAAATACATTGTGAAGAAAAGACACTGGACTAAAAATGTAAACTCTGCTTTCTCTCCACAGATGCTGATCGATCTGCTGAGTTTTTTCCAACAATTTTTGTTTTTGTTTCAAGTCCAACCCTGCCAATTCCCATCCCATCATCGTCCGCTCATACGTCAGTCAAGTCATGGAAGGTTTCATCAACTGTGCTATTAAGCGACTCCTGCTCAGCAGTAACCTGCTCACTGATGCCCACATTAGGATTTGCCAAAGACTCATATCCATTGAATCTAAAGGGATTGTTGTTTGGAGAGAGCATAATCCGTTATTCATATTTTATATTTCCATAAATTAAAGAGGAATATAAAAGTTTCTTTGGATTTCAATTTTGCTACCACACTAAACGAAATACATCACTACCAAAACTGAGGAATGTTCTCGTGAACACTGTCAAAAATTATTATGAATGAAATGATCAATGAGTTGGTGTTTTCATATGTATCAGCATGCGTTTAATGTAAACACATTAAAGCTAGTAATGTAATGTTGAATAGTGGTTATAAAATGATAGAAAATGAAAATGCCTCTCAGAAAGCACATTTATTTTTCCTCAGGTGGGAAATGTGATTTATGGTTATTTGGGATTTAGGTTTAAAAATAGATTCATGATGCTCATTCACTGAAGGTAATGTTATTTTGAGAAAAGGAGAAAACAATTTGAGTCAATTTACAAAGTGCATGCATTTCAAAATAATACAGTACGACAATTAAATGTTTGGCAGACCGTCTGTGTAAATGAGTGAACTTTTAATAATTTTGAACCTAAAATATGCGAGAAAGCCCTCCATTTAATTTTCACTTCAGAACAGAAAATTCAAGTTATCTGTGTGGAAGAACTGGAATGTTCAACTCAGAACAGAAAACAATGTCTCCTAAGGGGTCAATGCAACTTTATTTATGGGAACCAGTCAGTCTAATCACAATGTGTTAGTTGTAGAGATTCTTATCATGTCGAGCTTGGATATATCAAATGACACTCTGTATGCAGTACATGTTTACGTGTCAGGGTCCAGGCGGGCAGCTTGTACGTGTCAGTTTCTGAAAGGAGATGTTGACTATGTGGAGATTCAGTGTCACAGCAGTGCTTCTTGCTCCAGGTAACAACCGATTCTAGACAGGGTACAGGCAGTCAATCCTCAACAGGCAAGACGAGGTATGGTCTAATCCATCACCTGATGAAGATTATCGAAATAAGAGCACTGTTGGGGCCAATCATTGGTCATCATTTCCTTTGACAAGATCCTGGAGATGCTTGGAGGCCATGGCTGGGAGAGGTGAGGGCAGGAATTGCACACATCTCGCTTGGTTTTTAGTGGAGTAAACGTACCTGTACATGTCTACTCCTTCAGGCAACAGGTGATTGTTTGCATGGCCTGCGGAAAGGTGACTGAGGGAGTATTTCCCAGGCTCTATGAGGGGTTGGCCTACCATTCCTTCTGGTCAGCAGATGGGGTGCAGTGTCACTTAATCAAGGAGCTGGGGCATGACAGGTTGAATTGCCCCACCGCAAAGTGCGCCAAACATTCACCAGTGGCCCGCTGGTGGCACTGCCGCTCCATGTGCCCCAAAGGTGACACACGGAGTCTCTCAAGAAGGGCCCGAGGCAGAGGTCAACGTTACGGCAGCCTCTGGCAGGGAGAGAGATGGGTATCCGGCCAGAAAGGAGGCACGGAGAATGACCAGAGTCTTGACAGCTGCCTCATTGGATGTGCCCCTTTGTGCCCGGAATGGGGTGCTTTGAGTCCGGGCTTGGGTTTGGGATCTCGGCCCACCCCACTCTGGTGCTAGAGTGCCCTTGTGGCTGCAGTTGCACTGCCCTGGAGCTAGAACGCTGAGAACAATCCCCTGCCCCGTGTTGGTTTCGCAGAGTAGCCCTGATCTCTGCACACCTCAGTCTCTCGTCCTATTGTGCAGACTCAACAACATAATGAGATAATACAAAAGTCAAGTCATGACAGGGAAAAAAAAACACAGCTGAAAAGCCAATTAAAGGTTCCCTGTGAGAAATTGAAATGCATCAAAGAGAGCCCGGGAGAATGGGAGGAAAGTCCCCAGTAAAAGAAAAAAGATTCCCAACCAAACCGTCATAAGTCTAATAACCCGGAGCCTGGTGAAAACCAACTGTATCTTTCGCTAAGCCAATTGGAAAGCAAAATACCAAAGAGACCCAAATCCTCCGCTGACTCCGGCGATGATGAGGAGCTCTGTTTAGCCTTCTCACAGACCAAGCAATGCAAAATCTGGTCCCAGCAAAAAGCTGGGAGGCTCGAATACAAGTACAAATGGGTCACCTTGTCCAGACACAACCCCGCGCTGCCAAAGATGGTGGATAACTTGTCCAAAGAACGTCTCCCTTACCCCTGCCCCTCTGAAAAAAATGGGAGTCTTCAAGACCTGGCAGCAACTGGAATGGCTGTGAAGGAAAAAGAAATAGAGGGAGAGAGAGAGAACAGAGAGAGAGAACAGAGAGAGAGAGAAGATGGAGGAGAGAAGACAGGAGAGAGAGAGAAG